CCCAGTTACTAAAACCAGGGCAACAAATATCAGGTGTAAAGTGCTCCATCACCCAACTTTTCCCAAACTTTCAGACATTCAGCAGCCCTCGGAAAGGGAGCTGTGTCCGTGCACAGCTGTGGTTCAGGTGCAGCTTCTCTGACAACATTAATCAATAATGCAATTCTCATGAAAAACAGCACACCAGATTTAGGGTTCAAACGCTATGAAAACAAGGTTCACTGAATATGAATAATATCCAGTGAACTGGAATGGTTGGGAATATATTTATATATATATTTATATTTCTTGGCAATATAGAAATCAGTCCATTTTCCAAATACACTGCACAAGGGACTGGATTAATCACAAGCTCAAGAAGAATAACACAGACACGATTATTATTATTTTCTATAGAAATGCACTAATTAAAACTATTTGGAATTTTATCTAATGACTTATTTATTTTATAGATACAGACAATTTTACTGAGTTATACTGCATAAAAAATATGCAAAATCATTAATCAATTTTTTTTTGTCTGCCTTACAACATATTGTTCCCTCATTTAAGTCACTCTAACAGCATTTTAAAATTATTGGACAAAACCCACAAAACATGCACTGCAATTCCAAACTGTCTTTTCACAGCAAATCTAGAAGGACAAAAATGTGTCATACTGAGGGAAAACATAATCAGTCATGAACAATCTGCAACAGGAACACTCACCATTATCGGTGTTATTGTTAAACCTCTGCAATAATAAATAACAGCCCAGAAATACAAAGATTCTGAAAGGCACAACCACTGCACAGCTCTGGCAATAAAGGCACAGCTGTAAACCAGCCACCCTGCTATTTAAAATTCCTGGGCAAAACTAATGAAAAGAACCACAGATTGACATTAGAAGATTTAAATCCTAGAGAAAGAGCAAATGTCATCTTCAAAAACTAGACACAAGTCCTTCATTTTTTTCATCCCTGTGTTCACACATGAGTATTTTTACTGTTTTTCAAAAAAAATATTTGCATGGATGTTGCTGGTTTATAGTTGAGATTTATTTGTGGGTGTTTTTTTTTAATCTCCTTAAGATATAGAAATTGTGTTCATATTTCTATTTAATTAGCACTCAAAACCACCAGAAACAAACAAACAAAAATATATCCCACCTCCTTATGGCCTCAAAAAGTGTTATTTTTCAGCCATACCTAAAACACCATGCAATTGCAGTTAAACCATTCCTAAAATTGTGATTCTTTCTTCTTATAGAAAACACCCACAAATAAAACAAATAAATCTGTAAAAAAATAAACAAATAAAGTTGCAATTCACCTGGGTTACTGTGCATGAAGGTGGAGTAAGAGGTAGCAACCCTTACTCCTGTAACCCTTGAGAATATGTTTTAGTTATAAACTTCCTTATAAAAATTTCATAGAATTAAAAATTCTAAGGTTTATAGTAAATGAAGGTTAGCTGCTACAAACTCTCAGGAAAAAAAAAAAATTAGCAATAAATCCAATTACCTTTTCCTTTCAGCTAACTGTGACACTTTAGCCAGAGAAAAGAAACATATTTCAATCAGTAATTTCCATGTTGCTGAGAAGAGAAATTCTAATAATTTCTTCAATCACGTATTTCTCAGAAGAATCTCAGTAAGGGCAAGTTGATGAAAGACATGTGGAGGGCATATCTTTTACTCTTTAACCACGACAACAAGCACTGGGAACACGAGTACCCCAGCAAGCTCCAATCTTCTTACACCTCTGACAGCCAGACAAAAGTTTTAATTAGTTTCCTAGTTCAGGGCTTCCTAGAATAAATGCAATTCTGTCATTTCTAATGTGTTCTCACCATCAGTTAATGGATTTTAGGATTTTTTTTTTTCTTTGTCCCCTTCAGTTCAGACAACCTTCTTGCGTTATAATTTCTTCTAAATCAGTTCTTAGGTTATCCATATTTTCTCATCTGGAACACAAATGAGCTTTTCTAAAATTCAGTTTTAATGCACCTTTCTCTTCTCCTGACTGACTGAGGTGTTCTTTTTCAAACCCACATCACATTTCTGTACCACTCTCCAAAATTTCAGTGGAAACCAGTTGATGTGCCACCATTTGAAAATCTGTCAGTCCTGTGCCTATATATACACACTGAGTTCAGAGTCAGTTCCCAAACACACTCCCCCAGATAACAAAGACTAAATTATCACTTTTTGGAGTCCTAAGACTTGTGTACAACCATTTCCAGTTTTTCAAGCATTCTCCAAAATCACACACAGCCCGGAGAACAAGAGGGTGCTCTGAATATTGAAGCGTGAATGCCAAAATCAAGTATGAATTTCTCTTGGGGGGGTGCTAGAAATCACAGGAGCAGGCAAATTTTGGGTGTACAGGACTAGGGATGTCATCAAATCCAAACTCCTGGCCAAAACTCCTCTACAACTCCCTGACAGGTGGGTGTAGCCAGGTGGGGATTGGCCTCTTCTCCCACGTCACAAGAGACTGGACACAATGAAACAGCCTCAAGCTGTGCAGGGGAGGTTCAGGCTGGACATCAGGAAGAATTTCTCCAGTGAAATGGCTGTCAGGCATTGGAAGGGGCTGCCCAGGGAGGTGGTGGAATCCCCGTTCCTGGAACTGTCCACAAAACAACCAGACGTGGTGCTCAGAGCTGTGGTTTAGTTGAAAGGGTGGGGATTGGTTAAAACTGGATGATCTTGGAAGCCTTTTCCAACCTAAATGATCCTGTGATTCTATGAAAGGAGAGCTGCTTTCAAAGGCAGATGTGGTTGCTCAGGAACTTCAGCAGCAAAGTTCTGTTGCATGTTGGGCCATTAAATCTCTCTCTTCTCTCCAGTGACCTCTATTTAATGACTCATGGAAGAACCATCTCTATGATTTCTTTGCCAAGCGGCTCACGTGAATCTGCAAAGTGGACTTCATGCTTCAAACAAAATTGAATGGGATTAATTTATTTATTTGCCAAAATAAAGTTTTCAAATTGGGTGTTCTCTTCAGGAAGGAAGCTGCTTTGAAACTTCCTAAGGAGATCCAAATCTCTGCACGTGGAATGTGCACATGGTTGCCTTGTGGAGGCTGTCACTGCACAGGCAGATTGAGATCGAAGCCCAAACAGGGGTAAACGAGATGCTATTCTTGACTTGACCAGACTGCAAATGCAATTTTAGGCTTTGCAAAAAAAAAATAAAAAGCTTTTAAACTGGGAGCATCCCTAACTTATCTGAGAAAAACAGAAAGAGCAGCTGAACAACTTCAGCTAAAAATGCAACAGATAAACACAATCTGAAGGTAACACATTTCTCATCACTTGAAGCTTTCATGGTGATGTTTGTGTGGCTCACACAAAACATGCTTTAGTCAAACATCTACCAGATTAAAGTACAGGGAAATAAGTAAAGCTACTTATTTCTTTAATGCAGGAAATTAAACCACGTGTCCAAAAAGGGGGTTTTATATGTTCATATTATCTAGAAACCCATGAAAAGAAGAAATCAGAATGAAGATATTCATAAACGTTGAAGAAAGCAATAACCCAACAGTTCTCTCCCCTCTCTTGGCAGCATTTTATTTTCTTTAGTCTTCTTGTCAAACTGCTGAAATAGAAATACATTGTTCCTCATCAAAACAAGAACTTGAGAACCAAAGTTGTCATCACTGAAGAAAACCATGTCTTGTAGTTCAGCTTGTAATTTCCTGATTTAAACTTGTTGAGGCACTCCATCCAACACAAAGCTAGCTAAACCCAGTCAACCCAAGCAGCTTGTGAAACTGTGAACTTACAATGGCATTTTAACTTGTTGGCTGATGCATTCTCTTCTCTGGGCAAGTTGTTGGAAAATAAAGTGAAAGGGAAACACGAAATTCCCTCACAGAACACTCAGTAACTTTCTCATCTCACAACAGATTGTGCTGCACAGCAGCTTCAAATGCTGTACCAACACTGGTATCAGAATAACTGAGAGCTTGTAATCTCATTTTTAGTCAGTTTTACAGTGAATTCAGCATTCTGGTCTGTCTTTCATATCAACAACAAAGATATAAAGGTTTATAATGCAAGTTAATTACCCTGTTATCACCAACTACATGAAATGAAACATCTCTCTGCCTTTGAGTCTGTAATATCTGTACATGGTTAGAAACTTTCATGTCCAGAATAATTTGTGGAAAAATAACATTTCCCCCCACCCCCAAAACAAAGAAAAAATACTAAACGTCATTTCTTTGCACAGTGACTCAATTTAAGAGCATAGGAACTATGCAGACACGTCATTTCTGGGGGTAATTAAAGATTTATTCTTAAAACAGAGGCATCAAGTCTATTCTCACACTCAAATGAAGGCCTGCATTTCTATCCAGCAGACCAATGTCAAGATTCACAGTGTCAAGACCCACAATGTCTACAAGAGAACTGTTAGTACCAGGTGGATGGACAGATGGGGATAGCTGGCATTCATTTTTAATATGAGCATTCCTGGAAGAAAAATGACTTCTGTATGTATTTTAAATAATGGAGCTTCCCATCTTGAAGGTTACTAAATTATGCAACCGTTTTTTTTCCCATTATTAACATCAGCTCAGGAACAGGAAGGCACCAGGCCTTGACATCTTCCCAGCGATGGCAGCATGAAATGAAACAGGTTTTAAGAGTTTCTGCAGTTGGGTTGGTTGGTTTTGTTTGGGTTTTTTTTTTTGAGTCTGTCTTCCATAGTGTAATAACAAACCAGGAGCATGTCCTCTTAGATCAGCTGTTTCATGAATTTCTAAATTGCTTTAAGACAGACCTATGTAAATAGCTGTTGCTACTGTATTCCTGCTCGGGCTTTGGGACTATAAATTATTTAGAACAAGAGCTTCCAAAACATGTTTGAACAGAGCTTTCCACCAGAGATCACGAACAAAAGCTGCTCACGTTTTTATCACCAAATATTATTAAGATAATTACTTCAAATGAGTAAATACAGCATCAGGCTAAGGGAAGAAGCAAAACAAGCCAAAGATACTTGCCTGGGTAACAAGTGGCTCCAGCAGCCTCTCCACTGTGAGGGTCCTGATTTCCAAACTTTTGGGGTCCCATTTCAAAATGATAGGTGACGTTGCAGAAGTCATACTCCCTGGAACAGACAAAATTACACAAGCATCCTTGAGAATTATTAGTGTAACAACCAAATACTCCATATCATTTACTTAGAGAATAAATATAAATATTCACATATAAAATAAACCTCCATAACCCTGCCAGTGTTCCTCTACTCCCAAGAACTCCCAGGTGCACTGCTGCCACATCCTCTGAGGGCTTAAACGTTTATATTCAGAATTCTTTTTCCTCCTGTAGCCCTTAAGGACAGACACTCCAACACCACAGCAGATGGACATGTTCTGAAGGAACAATGCAGGGAGCAGGTTTATCCTGAAGGAGCACAGTCCAAACAGAATCCAAACTGGAGCAGGGGAAAAGCGCGAGGCAGGATGGGGAGTGTGTAGGACTCCAGCCCCTGAAGCTTCCAGCCCACAGGCTTGGCGAGGAGTTTTACTTTAATACAGATTTAGGATTCTTTAATACCTCGAGATGGCTTCAAGAGAGAAAGCCACAGACTTGTTCCCAAGGGATTTCTTTATTAATTTCGGGGAGCAAATAAAGGGAACTTGGCCAAAGTTCAAAAGGACACCACAAAAGCTACACATAAATGTTCCACTGACTCAGCATACACTATTAATCCACAACCCCTGAGTCAAAATCCAACCAATTCACCACTCAAGATCCAATCTCTCTGACCCACCATCCACTCTGGGGCTCCAGGTCAGTGTGAGGGCAGTGTCCTCAGTGCCCCAGTCTGAGCTGGGTCAGGGGCTACAGGAGCTGTGGGGTGTTACAGTTTTCCCAGCTGCTCCAGAGCTTCCCTGCGTGGGCTCCAGGGGCTGCCATAAGGGACACGATACCATCCCACCTGGTTGGATCCATCCCTTCCCCCTCCACACACACACACTCCCCACAAGGCAGTTCTGACCCAATAATCACTGATCTGGTGTCTAACAGAGTGTTATGAACTTACTGCAACCCCCAAATCCCCCTGCGCTGCCCAGAGTGGGGGATCAGAAGCGGAGACTGGGTGAAAAGTCAGGGCGGAGGAAGGTGGTTTGGATTTTGCCCTTTTCTTCTTCTCTTTTAATTAGCAATAAATCTTAAAATCGTTTCCCCCAAGTCTGTTTTGCCTGTGACAGTGATTGGCAAACGATCACCCTGACTTTATCTCCACCTGTGAGGTTTCCATCCTGTTTTCTCCCCCCTGCCCTGCCAAGGATGGGGAGTGAGGAGCAGCTCAGTGGGCACTTGGCTGCCAGACAAGGTCGGCCCACCCACACGTGGAATAAAACAAATTCAACAGCTCTGTTCAGAGTTTTGAACAGAACTTCCCCACGGTGTTCAGCATTTCTTAATGTTGCATCAAAAAGAGCAGAACTGATTTAACAACAAAAAGGATTCTCCAGACCCCCTGAGACTTAAAATCTTAAACAAGGCCTAAAATGAAGGCAGCAGCGAGTGGCTGTCATTTTTATTTTTTTTTTCCCCCCATTTCAGGTTTTTATGCAATTTTCTAGACAGTTGGCTTCATTTTTGAAATTCCAGGTACAGAGAAGCCCAGCTGTCAGGTTGTAAGAGACAACAAATGCACCTCATTGAGCTGGAAAGTGATTTTGTAGAAGTATTTGGTGACAAGCGAAGCCACATGTAAACTAACTTGTCAATAAAAAACAAGAAGACAGAAAAGTTTGATGTAAAAACGTTCTTTTTGAATCGCTCGGGTTGAGATATTTCCCTTTATTTTAAGATGAAAATAATAAAAAAAAAATAAGTTTAATAAGAACTCTAACAGGGAAAGATAATATAATAGTATCATATTGGACATTGCTTAGGTGAGATTCAAGTCAAGCCCTGAGAATATAATATCCCAAAAGTTTTAAGTTGTTTTCTCCAGAAAACAACGTTTAACCAACAAGGTAATTTCGGTAATAAAACATAAAAATAAATAAATAAATACTCCACCACCACAATTAAGTGAACACAATCAAAAGACATTCAGCTATTGCTCCTTGAATCACAATCCACCTCATAAAGCTCTATTCAATAAGGTACATACTCAGGACTTAGCAACATTATCTGGTATCTACAAAATAAATTCTGCTGCTTTATTCAGGAGAATGTCTTGACTGATTACTATCAATCAAAATTAAAGCCTCTGCAAAATCCATTCACAGGCTGCAAAAAGATTCCGTGTCAAAATATTTGCTCGAAAAGAGGCAGACCAGAACTCCCTAATCAATGTATTTATAAATCACATATAAAACCCACCCTCAGGGTCTTCTTATTTGCAAACATTCGGTGATGGAATTATCTGATAATACCTGGTGTGTGTGCTACAATCAGGATTATTCAGTTTCCATCCTTCTGCAAAAAATCCTTAGGTTTCCTGTTTTACAGTGTGAAAACACCCAGATGAGACTAAAGAAAACCACGAGGCAGTTTCTGGTTGCTCTGAACGTGGCTGATGTGGGAGCCAAGCCCATTTTTTCCAACAGACAATATTTATTAATCTCTCAGAACCCATTTCCTTTTTATGGAAGGATGGTTGACACTCCAGTTGGCCTCTGGATTCAAAAAATAAGTCTGAAGTGGACAATTATTCTAGTCAATAATTTGTGAGTTATGGCACTTTCAAATGTGTCACATGGTCTTTCTTTTTAATAAACCCACTTTTCCTCACTATTACCACGGGTACTCAAACATGCATTTGTCATAATAAAAAAAAAAAAAAAAATAAATCCAAAGCTGTATCACAGTCCAAAGCCCACAAAAGCAAATTAATTTCAGTGGATGACAATCACACAGGTGAGACTAAAGATAACCCGGATAATCAGCTGTTACAATCAGAACACGGCCTCAGATTCAACCTTTACCAAAAGAATAAAACAAATATCCCTCAGAACTCAATATAAAAGGGTGAGCAATGCTTTCAAATATAAAAAGATACCTACAAGAAAAAGCCTTACTAAAAACTTCTAAGATACTTTTTTATTTGCAATAAAATCCACCCCACAACAGCAAATAAGTAAAAATAACAAGTCAAATCAATGCATTTTCCTCAACATTCCTCCAGCTGCTGTCACAACAGCAATTTTAAATGACAAGACTAAAAAGGAGCCACCTACCCAAGTGTGTGTATGCGAACAGATGGAATATTTCTCCCTTACCATTTCTGCCATGAACTTCCCAGACCAAAGAGGTGAACAGGGACTGCTCAGTTGGATCAAGGACAGGTTGCTAAGAATATCTTACAACTATTTGACCAAAGAATCCCCAAACAAGCAGCTTTAAGTGCTTCAATGAAAACACAAATTGCTTCACAGCTTACACCTGGCCTGGATTGTGCAGCACCTGTGAGGAAGATAACCTCTGTGAGCAGAGGATAATGGCATCCCATAGTATTTTTCATATAAAGATGAAAGTATATTATGATAGAGAGAACACTGGCAGATGTTTAGTAAAAGATTTCCTTTCCTATTATCTTCTAGACTAGACTGATACTACTCTTTTCATAAGGAGCTTAATTTTTCTGCTTTCTCATTGAGTTATTTGTTGTCATCCTGACCACTTATTGTCATTTTTTGAATGCTCAGCAACATATTTATGAAACCAATCCATTCTTTTTTTTCCAAATGAGACATCAGATTTCTTGTCTGAGTCCCAACCCCCAATTCAGAAATATGTACCAATTGTTCTTCGGGGTAAACCCCACGGAATGAAAATTCACTTGCTGATTTTATTATTGCACAGTTAAGGAAACATTGTTAGCAGAAAGCTTCTGTGAAACTTAATCTCTGTTTTTCACCTGTGTTATCAATAGGCTGAGTGTGATTATTAATCCTGCATTTTAAAATTGATATTGTTAATTAGGAAACTATGTCAATAGTGCTGTAATAACACTGCTATAGAAGTACACACACATTGCTCTCCTAACCCTGAAATCAGCTCCACACTTTTTTCAAGAATACATTTAAGGAATTCTATTGCCTAACTGTTTGTTTTGCTCCTGGAGCATGAGCCAAAACATCTTTTAAAGCTTTTTAGCTTTTCCCAAATACAGCAATAGAGAAATGTCTCTATCCAGTTCAGTAATGTTCAGCGTGAGCATTTGTTTAGGCAGTTTGTCTTCAAAGCCTATCTATAGAGAAAGTAAGTATTTACTTCAGTAAATACTAACAAGCATTTACTTGAACAAGTGGAACACGCAGATTGCTGTATTAGAACCAAATTCCACATCAGTGGAATTCTTCATTTTATGACAGTCACCAAAAATCTGACCCCACACCACTGCCATCACCAACCTTATGATTACTACTGATACACAAACATCTGATAACGCAGCAGAGAAAGAAACAAATACCATATAGCGGCTGTTGTTAATACATCGACACACACTGCTATAGACACATCAACACAAGACTACCCTATTCCTACCAAGGCTCAAACAACACCTGGGCCTTGGATAGATGTCACTCATCAAGTAGTTGAGGCACACGAGCGAGCGTGGAAAACATTCCACGAGCAAGCATTTCTTCTCCGGTGACCAAACAATCCTTCCATTCACCTAACGTTGTCTCATCTTCTAAATCATCCCCAGCAGGGTGTAACAGTAAAGATATTTTAAATCTACATAAGCAAAAGCAACATTTACCGAAGCAAAGTGATAATTTTTTTTAGAAACGGAAACAATGCCAGTCTTGAACAGGCCTTCAGTTAGGAGTCCAGCTCAAGTCTGCAATGCAGAACAGTGCAGGCATGAAGGACAGATGCTAAACGTTTTATACTGAATGAAGTAAAAACCCATTCCACCTGACTCACAGCAAAGCTGTAGGATTAACCTGGTGGTAATACTGGACTGGCAGTGCTGGCAGCCCAAGTTTGTTCTTCCAACAGTCTATTTTCTACTGGAAAGCAAAAAAAAAATGATTTTCATTAGTGGATTAGAAGGATGTCCAGCAAGGTAGAACATCAGTAAGTTGAGAGGAGTCAAAAGGCAAGATAATAATAATTTTGCCTGTGTTTCCAAGTAGT